GATCTTTGAGAACCAAAACACATATAGATACCCCCAACGGATGGAGTCACAGCACTCATGGAGAATTCTGCCTGATATTGTGAATCTTGGAGCTTTGATATTTGATGCATGTGGGAATGGAATGCACCCTCCTTGAACAGAAGGAAGCTGTCCACTGGGATTGATGATTTACACAACAGGGTCACTTTCTCTCCTGAGGACACGGTGGTACCTGGATGCACTGAGAGGTTGGGTGAGACAGGAGGATGTCCTAGAGAGAAGAAGGGTGAGTGAGGGGCTACAGTCATTGTTCTGAGACCCTTTTGTATTACATAGTCTTCTATATCTTCCCTGAATGCCATTCATCTACTCCCCTCTCCACAGATCTGTTCATCCTGAGAAGACTTTCATTATCTTGACCATCAATCACTTGCCTCCCCAAAGCTGACCATGATCGGAGTCTGGGTTCCTGAGAGAATACACTATGTTCCTCACCTGTGATCAGGATATTCAGAGGGTCACTGGGTGCTGACCACTCAGAAGAGGTGTTGTATGAACCATGGCATGTATACCGGCCACCAGTGGTGAAATTCACAGAGTGTAAGGTGAAGTTTGCATGAGACTTTCCAGCCTGGGTAAAATTGGCAGATATCTGTGGGACATCATTTCTGCCCTCCTTGGAAAGAAGAAATCTGTCATAACTCATGTTTGAGTAACACTGGAGGGTCAGCTTCTCTCCAGGGGCCAAGATAGGTCTTTGCTGGGTTATCAGGGAGGGCTTCCTGGATGACCCTGGAAGAAGGATATGTATAAAGGCATCAGGTCAGCTCTTGCTATACATTCCTCTGCTGGCTAAGTTTAAGTCAGCTGGACACAAGCTAGAGACACTGGAGAAGAGGGAGCACCAACTGAGAAAAAGGCTCAATAAGATTAGGCTGCACACAGTCCTGTATGGAATTTTGTTAATTAGGAATTCACAGGGGAGGGCGTATCCCATTGTGTATGGTACCATCCCTGGGCATGTAGTCCTGGGTTCTATATGAAAGCAGGCTGAGCAAGGCAGTAAGCAGCACCCCTCCAGGGCTTCTGCATCATCTCCTGCCTCCAGATTCCTGCCCTGTTAGAGTTGCTCACTTAACTTCCTTTGAGGATAAAGAGTGCAGTAAAAGTGTAAGCCAAATAAAATCTTTCTCCACAACTGGCTGTTTGTCATGGTATGTCATTTCAGTAATACAATTCTAACTAGGACAATAACCTCTCCTTCCCTGCTCTGATACTGTCAGGCTCTCTCATAATCTGAGTTGTAGCAGTCGAGATATTCCTCAGCCATCATGGCTGGAACCATGGGGCAGCAGAGCTAGTGATAAAGGATTCCCAGTCAAAAACCAGATGACTGAATAAGTCTTCTGACCTGAGACAAATATCTCCAGAGGGTTACTGGCCTCTGACCAGACATGTGGTTTACTTTTGAAGAATCCATAACATCTAAAAGGCCCACTCTTTCTGGATCTCACAGGGACCTCAGGAAACAGAGCCTGGGACTGTCCTGTGTGTGTATACTGTGCCTTGAAGGGCCTGGAGAAATTCTGATCTTCCCCAGTCACAATGAACCAATCATATCTTTTTGATGAGACACATTGGAGGGTCACATTCCCACTTGAGGTCACCACGGGGCTGGGCAAGGCTGACAGAGTAGGTTTACCATGGTAGAATCCTAAGAGATGATGATGTGGCCTGTTAAATGATACATTGTCTCCAGAAGCTGGGCTATGGGTGAAAACATTTGGGAGATATATTTCCTGAAGGAAAATGTAGACAACATGATGTACTTGATCTCACAAATAACATGGTAGAAATGAGGAATGTTATTCATGCAGTGTTTCTGAACAACTGACAGAATAAATACCTCTTTTCTATCAAGAGGCCTGGGAGTAGATGTTGTTAATAGCCATGGGACCATCAATCTGTAGCTCTAAACCTCACCTGAATACCCCAGAATATTTATTCTAGACTCTATCTCCCTAGACTTTATCATTAGCTCTCAGTTAATGAACCTCATTCTTAGGGAAGATGTCACATACACTTTATAGCCTGCTGACATCTACTCTATGTCAGTCATTGACCACACTAGATTAAAGGCCGTTTAGCTATAGAACCCATCTTCATGGTCACTTCTGAGTTGAGTTTTGATGCAATTAGACCTAGTTGTTCACTGGAATTTCTATTACACCAGGAATCTTTTTGTCCAAATTTGTACTGTGTTCAAATTTGCTTACAATCAACCACCTGGTGTCATACTTTTTAGAAGTGTGAACCAGCAAACAACTATGTCAGGCTTATCTATATTTTCCTTGTTATTGCGTGTGGGTCATATTCTGTCAGCAGCAGGGCTTTCAGGGACCAACACACAGAAAATGTGAGGACTTTGTGACCCTTAGTGTCCACTCACCTGTCACCACCAGCTCCAGGGGGTCACTGTGCTGTGTCCACCCAGCAGAGTTAAAACAGTAACAGTGATATCGTCCTGCATTATACTCGGTCATGGATGGGATGATAAATTTGGCTGTGTGATCAGGCACTGGTGCAGTTAATCTGCCCAAGGGTGCTGGGCTTCCTTCTTTATACAGGAATTATATTTGGGTTTCCATGGTTCCCTCACACGAGATTGTTACAGGTTTCCCTGATGTGATCACAGAGCCTGGCTCAGCCCAGATGGTGGGTTTCTGGAGGGTCCCTGCTACTTTCAAAGAAGTAGGTGAGAGAGATGTGGGTCTTTAAACAGTTGCACAGGGAAAGTAAAACTTGGAATTGACCCTTGAATAACTGAAGGACACATGGAGCCATGTGAGGATCCTTTCTCCTGACGTTTCCAAGTTCCATTCTCACAACAACCCTCATTGGGTTCTGTATCTTTACTCCCACAGTATGCTTGCTGTATCAGTGAGCTCAAGAACCTGTCTTTCCCTGTATTTATCACATATTAGCCCCACAAGGGCAAACTCATTTCAGTGTCATTCAACAGAGAGCTGGAATATCCTCACCTGAGACTAGAATATCTAGGATGTCACTCCCTTCTGACCACACTTGAGGGTTGCTTGTGTGATAGCCATAGCATCTGAAACTCCATCTTTGGCTGGAGGTCATGAGACTCACTTGGAACCTGGCAGAAGACAGCCCAGTATATACATTCTGTGAGCCCATGGAGCTGGAAAACTTCTGCTTGTTCTTAATTAAACTGAACCCGTTGTATCTCTGATTTGAGGTACATGAGAGGTTCACAGACTGTCCTACGGTTACAACAGGGCTGTTCAGGGCTGTCAGTCTGGGTTTGATGGAGACTCCTAGAAGAGATAAACATGGAAAATTAAGTGGGCTCACAGTCTGCACTGTCCCCTGAAATGTTGATGAGTGGGAATACATTCAAACTAGATGTTTTAAGAGTCATGTCTTGCAGTTGATTGGCTTGATCTGTTTGGGAGGCATCTAGGCAGTGGTACCAGATCCTGGGCTCATTGCATGAGTTAGCTGTTTGAAACCTGGGACTTATGCAGGGACACTTGGCTCAATCTGGGAGGAGGGGCCTGGACCTGCCTGGACTGAGTCTACCAGGTCAATCTCAGTCCTCGGGAGAGGCTTTGCCATGGAGGAGGTGGGAATGGGGGGTGTGCTGGGGGGAAGAGGAGGGGGGCAGGAAGGGGGAGAACAAGGGAATCTGTGGCTGTTATGTAGAACTGAATGGTATTGTAAAACAAAATAAAATTAAATTAATTTTTTTAAAAAAGAGTCATGTCTTGGGATACAATTCCTGAGTACTGTAAAAACACTCACCTGTCACCACCAGCTCTAGGGTATCGCTGCGCTCTGACCACCCAGCAGAGTTGTAGGAGTAACAGTGATATTTCCCTGCATGCAGTGTTGTCACAGATGGGATGGTGAATTTTGCCTTATTGTTGTCATTCTTTTGGGTCTGTCTGTCCCAGGGTTCTGGACTTCCCTCTTTATGTAGCACGTACATTTGGGTTTCTCTGGTCCCCTCACACCAGATGGTGACAGGATTCTCTAATGTGATCAGAGTGCCTGGATCAGCCCAGATGGTGGGTTTGTGGAGGGTCCCTGCAAAGTAGAAAAAAGTGAGATACATCTCTTAGGATACTTGTGCAAACGTTAAACTTGAAAATGACACAAGTTGATTGGTAAAGCCAGAAGGACACATAAGGACCCAATCTTTTCATGAACTCCTAAGTTCTACTGTTATTATCAACCCTTGTCTCCTGAATTCTGTGAAATTGGACTTAGGAGATTGAGTTCATTAGCCCACCATATATCAGATCCTTCTTTGAGATCTTTTGTCAAATCAATTATTATTCAGAGAAAAGCCTAGGGTTTTCTTACCTGAGATTAGGAGCTCTAGATGGTTACTGGGTACTGACCACAGCTGGGGGCTGTTCCAGTAATAGCCATAGCATGTGAAGATCCATCTCTTTTTGGGATTCACAGGACCCACTTTGAACTGAGCCCAGAAGTCCCTGTAGTATGTATACTGTGATACCATGGGCCTGGAGAATTTCTCATCTTCCATAATTAGAATGAACCTGTTATATCCATGCTGTGAGAAACACTTAAGGGTCACATCACCTCCTGAGGTCACCACAGGGCTATGCTGGGCTGACAAGGACACTTTGCTGGGATAGACTCCTAGGAGAGAAGAGGAAACTTGTGAAGTTTATTCGTTAAAGTATACATTTGCCCCTGTTCTTGGATTTGAGAAAGGGACCTCAAAGTGAATGTAGTCCCTTTTTCAAAGCAGGTTCTGAGATTAGGGATGAGTCCTCTCACCTGTCACCACCAGCTCCAAGGTATCACTGTTTTGTGACCACCCAGCAGAGTTGTAACAGTAACAGTGAAAATTCCCTGCATGCATTTTTGTCACAGAAGGGATAGTGAATTTTGCCTTATTGTTGAGATCCCTTTGGGTCTGTCTGTCCCAGGGATCTGGACTTCCCTCTTTATGTAGCACATATATTTTGGTTTCTCTGGTCCCCTCACACCAGATGGTGACAAGACTCCCTAATGTGATCAGAGTGCCTGGCTCAGCCCAGATGTTGGGTTTGTGGAGGGACCCTGCAAAGAACAAGAAAAAAATGTTTCTTTGCTAAGACAGTTGCACAAAGAAGTTCACACTTACAGATGATAGTTATGCTGATCTGCAGCAGCAGAAGGACACATAAAGACCAAATTCTTTCCTGAACCTAATGGCTTCTACTTTTAATATCCATCCTGGTTTTTGAACCTTAATCACAGCTGTATCCTGAGTTCTGTGACATTGGGCTCAGGAGCATGAGCTCACCAACCCACCACATATCAGGTCCTTCCCTGTGACCTCATATCTGACCAATTGTCATTGCAAGCAAAATCTAAAGCTTCCTTACCTGAAACCAGGAGTTCTAGGCTGTTACTGGGTACTGACCACAGCTGTAAGCTGTTCAGGTAATAGCCATAACAGGTGAATCTCCATCTCTGTTGTGGAGTCAGAGGACCCACTGTGAACAGGGCCTGGAATATACCAGTGTATATGTCCTGTGAGGCCATGGCACTAGAAAATTTTTGATCTTCCTTTACTAGAATGAAACTGTTGTATTCCTCTTGTGAGGAGCACTGAAGAGTCACATCACTTCCTGAGGTCACCACAGGGCTGGTCAGGGATGAAAGGGTGACTTTGCTGGAGTAGACTCCTAGGAGAGAAGAGGAAGCCTTCTTAGTGGACTTATATTGCTCACCTGGTCACCCCTGTTCCAGAATTGTCAAAGGGACCCCACGGTGAATACACTCATTTACTCAAGACAAATCCTAGTGTTGGGGAAGGGTCCTTTCACCTGTCACCAAGAGCTCCAGGGTGTCACTGTGTTCTGATGTGCCATTAGGGCATTTATAATAACACCGATATTGGCCTGCATCCTGACTTCTAATGGAGGAGATAATGATCTTGTTATTTTTTTCAATGTCTTCATTAGCTGTTGGTATCTGGAAATCTGGATTTCCTTCTTTATAGAGCTTGTATTCCTGGGCATCTAAGGGGCCTTCACAAATTAGAGTTACCTTCTCCCCAGTGGTTACCACATTACTTGGCACAGCTCTGAGTGTGGGTTTGGAGAGGCCCCCTGAAAACAAAACAAAAACAAACAAACAACAACAAAAAATGGAAGTTTGGTCAGAAGACATTCTGTTTAAATCAAAGCTATCGGTCTCATGACCTTGCAGGCAACACCAGCATCAGCCCACACCAGCTCTTCTCCATCTCTTTTCTTCAGAGGTGACCTTTGATTCCCGCTGAGAATGTACACTTTATAAAAGCTGGGAAGACACTCACCTGCCAACACTTGGTTCCTGGGGCCCAGACTCAGTCCTGCAAGAGAATTACCTGTGAGTGTATGTCCTTGAAGCCTGAGCAGGACTTCCACTTCCAGATGCCTTCTGAGCTACTGAAACACCCTTGATGGACTACTGCTCAATTATGAGGTAGACTACTTCTCAGTACAGAATTCTCTCTCCACAACTTCATTTCTCACCAAGACAAAGCAGAAATGTGAGGTTTGGGATCATAGCCTCTTCCAGTTGCCAAAAGTTTGCAGATGGTTCGTCCTCTTGCAAAAAGAACAGACACAAAGTATATTGCCTATGCAGTATGGTGCCTCCTTGTCGAGAGTATGTTATACAGGCAGTCCTTGCAAAATCAGGAACTGCTCTTTCTAGGCAAGTGGCTTTTGTTTTACCACTGCTGTGAAGGGTGGGGCTCCAAAACATGTGGTCTCTGTAACTGTGGTTTTCTTTGGTTTTGGTTTTGGTTTCTGACAGAAAGCCTCCTGAAACTCTGGGAGGTCTAAATCTCCTCCCCTTTCTCAGTCAGCTTCTTGTGTGCTAGGTTTACAAAACCATATCTGATTGTGGTCTCTTTTTGCAGAGCATCTCCCATATACCCATGTACATTAGCTTGCATGATCCTCTTCACCAAAGACCAGGACTTAACTAGCAATAATCCTGGTATCTTCCTGAGCCAACACCTTCAGATGAGGGTGCTCAGAGCTGATCTTTTCCTGTCAGC